CTCACCCACTCACACTCACACACACACACACACACACACACACACACACACACACTTTCTCTCTCCAGCAGCATCACGGACTGATGTGTTAGAGTGTGTGTAAGTCATCAGCCGAACAATAATAAAGACATAAAGGGAAAAATGATAAAACACACATAAATAACTGTTTTATCCCGAAAATTTCTCAACATTTAAAAAGAAAAAATCTATTTAATCAAATGCATTTGACCTTATTAAATCAGGACCTAAATTAAAGTAGGTGTCGCTTTAGTCCGTGCAACAGAATGTACAGAATAGTTATATAGTTTCAAACTTGTTATCCTAATGCAGTTTATACAATGCAAAGTGCCTTACCACTTCTAAAGCAAAGTCTGCGTTCGGTCCAAACGCATGGGGTCCGCTTGAGGAGCGTCTCTCTCGGTGGAGCAGTTTCTCAGAAGCACGCGCTCCACGCGAGACGCGACGCGACAGAAACGCGACGGCGTCAGAGGGAAACAGCCAATAGCAGCAGCTGCTCTGTGTGGAGCATCTTGAGCAGTGCTTGACATGAGCCCAGGGTTAATGCTCCTAAACTGTGGGGGGTCACTGTATAACTGATGTAGGCTTGTGGTTTTTTTCTTTCTTTTTATTCGAAATATTTCCAAACGTGTTAACTATATCAGGAAATATCTCGATTCTCAAATATGTGTAAGTAAATGCGTTTTGCACCTTTATAGATTATGTCATTTGCCTAATAGTGTAATCTAAACTACACATAAAAAAACGTACCAGATATGGGTGTCATGCCATAAAATATTTTAATACGAAAGAGTGAGTCACTGAATCATTCATTCAACCGATTCATTCAAAAAGCTTCATTCAGAAACAAGGCAAGTGGCTCTTTATGAATGGATCACTGAATCACTGAGTCATTCAAAAACACTGATTCATTCAGGAACGGAAAACCAATTTGTCGCTCGACATTTTTTATTGGTGAAATAGAGCAAAAACAGACAGTATCGTGTCTAAAATGTAAAACTGCTAAACTATATAATTTACTCATACACTACCAGTCAGAAGTATTTTGTCTTTATCGTCACTTTTGATCAATTTAAAGCATCCTTGCTAAATAAAAGTATTAATTTCTATCATTTCCCAAGGAAAATAAATATATACTGACTCCAAGCTTTTGAATGGTATATGTAGCCTATAATGTTACAAAAGCTTTTTATTTCAGATAAATGCTGAAAAAAATTTTGACTGGTAGTGTATGTATGTATGTATGTACGACTGACTTTGTATTTAATGTGAATTTAATAACAATATTGTAAGTTACTATATTAGGCTATAACATTTTCATTTTACAGAGAGCAAAGAACATTTAAATTATCACAAAACATTTTCACTTTAGTCTAGCCAGAGTTCAGGCACTCTCAAAAACTCCCATTTAAATCACTGAAGCTGTTTACACTGTGAAATTAATATCTTACTTACATTCGTACACACATGTTGTTTCTGATGAGAGAATTCAGTCAGCAGCAAGTGAACAAAACACGCGTTCAGCGATGACTCATCTGAACGCCTCTGATTGGTCACTGCATTCATAAGTTTGAATTTAGCAGCTGATGATATGAAGCACTGAACGATATAATCACGCCGGTGTCATCGTATCAAATATAACAAATATTATTCGGCTATTTTTTGTCTTTTGGAAGCTGCATTCAAAATCCCCTTGGCTCATAAATCTGAGGGGCACGTGAATGAATGGGTTTTGGATAATGGCTGTATGTTGTTTGTGTGGCTGTGCAAATCTGCGCTATATGCAGTAACTAACGGCTCTGGAACAGTGCTGAGCTGTAGAAACATATATAACTCATCCTCTGGTTTGAGTATTTGAAGAATCAACATAGAAAGAATTCATCTTTAAAAACATGTCCAAATATTTCAGTATATGTTAATTCATTATTATATTATTTATATTATATTACTTTCATTTATTTATTTATTTTCCTTAGCGTTTATCTTCATGTATTTGCTTGCATTTCGTACTGTAGATTTGCCATGTTCATAGTAAATAATAATACATAAATAAAGGGATCAGTGTCCAATCCACTGATCTATAATAGAGAATATATATTACATCATTATTTATTATATATAGATCAGTGTCCAATCACAAATATGCAGTCATAGAAGCTCTTCCGCTACAGTGTTTCACATTAATAATATTATATACCACCTTTGGTCATGTTATTTTATTATTGATCCGCCCCCCCCTCCCCCATATTTATGTTTATGTTCATTTTATGTTGTTGTTGTTGTTATTCTGTCTTACATGATTTAAACTGTAGGACATTACCTTCTATCTGCCTTTTTTAAAATTTATTTCTATATTTGTCTTTTATTAAAGATATAACATTCACAGGGGACACAGTCAACGCAATAAAATACACACACAACCAGAATACAAAACAGTAAATATATAAGTAATAATAAAAATGAAATATAAACATAAAAAACAAATAAATAAAAAGTTAACATCTTTTTTATTTTATAAATAAATAAATCATAAATAAATTAAAATAAAAAATACCTAAAATGATAAATTACACATAAAATGTCAGCTTCAGAGAATACTCAGGAGATAGCCCTTACATCAGTCATTGTTGTTTCCATCAATACAGTAGTTAAAATAGTTTCCATCAATACAGTAGTTTTAGCAGCTTTCCTGTTGAGCAGAGATTCATAAAACAGTTTCAAATCAATACAAAAAATCCTAAAATTGGGCAAACTATCAGTAACTTTACATTTGTGAAGATGAAATAGGCCAAAAAGAGTTAACAGTTTTAAGATATCATCCAGCTCCTTTGATCCTGATTCCCAAATTAAAAATAGTGCATTAATTATCATCTGCCTTGTTCTTTTTTCTTGTACTTATGTGATACTAGTGATGGGAAGTTCGGTTCTTTTCCGCGAACCGGTTCTTTCGGACAGTTCGATTCAATAAACCGGTTGAAAAAACCGGTTCACCGGTTCTTTTACGCTCGACGTAATGACGTCATTGGCGATGACGTAATGGCGTTAAGTCTATCGCGGGCTTAACACATTCAAATATAAAGTCAGTAATCATAACATCAGTCAATTAAAACATCATTATAATCTGATACGTTTCTTACAATTTGGATTTTTGTATCTAAAGCATCAACACATATACAGGCAGTGATCTGCAAACTAGGATGTTTTACAGTTATGACGTCAATAAATTAGTCTTCATCATAGCAGAAACTATGCTCCACTTACTATGTATAATCCATTACGGTTTATTTGTAATTAAGTAAATTTACGTTTCGCCGGATTGCCCTTCATTAAAGTCTTCGGTTTACCCGCGCTCATAACATTAGCACAGAATCAGTTGTACAAAAGAACCAGTTCGGTTCAGACGTGCTGTGTCAGTCATAGTAGGCAATCTGTTCGGTAGCTTCACACTGAATCGCGCATGCGCAGTATCATCAGCTCATCGGTTCTCAAATCGGACGTGTCCAAAAGAAACGGTTCTAGGTTCAGTATACTGGTGATCCGAAAACCGATGCA